AATCTAGGATGCTATGACCATCTTAAATATATGCCAATTGCCGAGCACCCAGATCGCAAATACATCATCACATGAGTGTTACAATGGTCACTAAGTCCAAGAACTGGTCACAAGTCATTACTTTAATGGTCACTAAACAAATGATCATGTCAAGAACTATCTTTATAGATTTCACACATAGTGACACATGCACAATTATAATTATCTGAGCTAAAGCTAAATATTTTTTCTTGCTTTTAGTGAAAAATGAAAATTGGAAAAACAAATCTTTCAAAGATTGTAATGAAAAGGATGTAGAAAAACAATGAATAAATAATAGAGTAGAGACTAGAGTATGACATTTTATTTTTGAAGAGATCGCTATAATATTAATCATTTCAAAAGTATGGAGAGACTTCTGTGATTTCCCTGAATCACAGAATAGCATCTGAATGGCATTATGCCTGAATTCTCTATAGTCCTGACTTTGTTACCTTTTAGAAGACATGAAGATCTGCTCTTCTTAGTAGGTCCTGATGTAATGTGTAAGCCTGCTTTTTACTTTGGTGTATCTGTCAAATGTTGCATAGTTGTTGTACAGTTGCTTCAACATGATTTGTGTGTATTTGTATGCATATGCATTTGTTATATTTTGGGTTTCATTTCTCCTTAATCACTGTTTATAGCTGACAACTATGCTATTCTGTGCACTTCCTAAAGTTAGTACAGTGAGTGAGGTGGCCTATAAATCAACTAACTATAGCATATGGCAGCTGAAGGGAAAAATATTGGATGATTGCCACATTGCTTAGCCGTGCATGAATAGCAAACAACAATGCAGTCTTTTCAAACTCTTGAAGGTCATCATTTTGTGGATGAAAATTATTAATGGTCTACTTCAACTATATTTAGGAAATATGTTTTCCTCATAACCCTGATTTACATTTTTCAATCAACTGAGTCTGTCCACTGGATTTGCTTTTGGCATTTGATTGTTCAATTTATTTTTAGTTTACATTTCTATACATAGTTACATGAATATAGTCCACAGGACTCTGGAGGACTTACAGAAATGTTTCATCATAACACTGAACTGCAACTGTAAGTAGAAGCAAAGTGATAAGAATATACCCAAAAGAAGACAAACATTACATAGCTTCTATTCCCCGAAAATGAGATTGAAGAAAAGTGAAAGCCCTATGAATCAAAAATATAAGCATTCTTAGAGAAAAGCACCAAAAATGCATCAATGCAAAGAGACCATAGTATTAGAATGAGGCAGCATGCAAAAAGATTTAATAGAACTGAAAGTGAAAGAAATTCTTTTCTCCTTCAATGTATCATCTGCATCTTACTGAGCATATTCTACAGTAGCAATTACTCAAGTTAACTGATTGTTTTCAAAGAAGAAGAATGAGAAAGTCTTGTGTAGCATAACAATCCTAAAACATTTTTTATTATAACATTATTCTGTATTTGGATATATTGATGTAACATTCAATTAAAAAGTCCCCTTTTCAATAGTTATATTCCATTTATCAAAGAGATGCTTTTCTTTAGGCTTTAAAAGAGTGGTGTGAGATTTCCTAATTTATGATAAGAAGTTACACTATTTCATTGGCTTTTTAAACAGAAAGATTCTCGTCCTGACTTTTATAGCACAGGTGTTATTAATAGAGAGGTTTTGTTTATAATGAAGTGTCTTCTGTGGCTTGGAGCTGAAGAGAGATATTTTTAAAGTTTTCGTTTCTGATTAATTTGCTGAGGAAGAGCAATTCAGGACATGGCAATATGACATTTAAATTAATAAAGTGGAAATCTTGAAAGTGCCTGGCACTCTTTGTTATTTATACAGTATATTCCAAATGGAGTTTTTTCTGTTCCCACAGTGCAAAGTCTTTGAAAGAGATGCTTCACAAAGTATATTAAAGGATCATAGTATTCCTTTAGGTACTAAGTAGCATAAGCTATGGTAGTAAGGTTTTCCCCAGATGTCTGAAGGGTGTATATTAGCCCTACACAATGCTTCTAAAAAGATACACAACAAAGAAATTGTGTAGGGATTAAAACAGACTACCTTTTCTAAATCAAATCTGATGTGTTGCATGCTTGATGTAAAATGATTTGAAAGAAGTGTTTTATATTTTACCTATGATCAGCAACTCTGCTTTTTACTGAAGATAATCCCATTTCCCCTTCCACCTCTGGGCTTTTGCATTACACAGAAATAAAATGTCATTGCTTAATGAAGCTGGAATTAAAAACAATGCAACTCTTAGGAGCTACTGAACTTTGCTGGTAAACTTGGGGGAAATGTCATGGGGACCAGAATATATGCAGATAATAGGAGAAAACTTTCAAAGTAACTGTGTCACATCTCCTTTAATGCTTTGAGAGGTATCCCAATGTGCTTTACAAAGTATCTCATTCAAACATGTCTTCATTTTTATATTACAAATGTATAATATTAATCACTTAATTTGATGTTCTATTTGAATAAAAAAGTGGGGGCGAAAAATAACTTTTGTAATTAGAAGGGAATTGATTGTTGGAAAATGGTATGTGTAAGAAAAGTTGACATCTTAAAGACAACCAGCCAGGTAGTTAAACAACTTTCTTATTTTTATGGACAGGAAAGAAATGCATTTTTATTGAAAGCTATCTCTTATCCACTTCCAATACATTATGTTCAGACAAAATATGAATTTGACCACAGGGTAACTCATAGTTGCAAAGAGATATGATTCTTATTGAACCTAACTCTTTTTTCCACCAGAGCAGATTATACAGGAACTCTGTTCTACCCAAAAGTTTCAATGATTTTAGATGGAGTTATCATTATAATGGATTAATTGTACATTAATGTTCTCTGGGGTAGAGCTTATAGTTTGTTATCACTTACTATTTTGCTTATTGTTTTATATTTTTTATTGTAGATTTGCTTTGTTTTTATACTGTGAACAGACCAACTTGGGAGTTAGATGGCATCTAAGTTGAATTAATAACAACAAAACTTTTTATAAATAAAATACAAAAAGGTTAGTTTTAAATTCATTATAATATTGATTGAAAATGTACTGCTGAAACTTCTGTTTAAACAATTGTTGTTTTTTTTTCAAAAATTGAAGACTTGTCTGCAGTATTTTTTTCATTGAGAGAGGGCCTGCTTAAGATCTTACCCATATAAAGTAAGGGGAACATGGGTGTTACAGTATGTGTGAATGACCTTGAGAGACCAAAGGAAAAGCCACAGACTAGACAATGGTCAGGCAAGTGGCAGCTGATTACACAGAAGGAATGGATGTTCGGCAAAGGTCTCAGGAGGGACCCTTTCTAATTTCTTGAACTGTAAAGGCAACACATGATAAATGAAAATACTTTATTTCCACAAGCATTTAAAAGATTAAACAAAGATTTGTGTTTACAAGTGTGCAAAATGAGGGAAAATATGCATGAAAATATTATAAAATGATTGCACAGTACTGTAACTTGTCAACAATTACATCAATATTTTGTTCAATGAACAAGGTTCAAATATTTCTTGTGTATGTTTTTGCCATACTTTTAATTAACTGACTGAAAAAAGCTCATTTGCCATAGACACAAATATCAATTATTTTAAAAGGCATGATCAACTGCTCAATTGTTAAAACAAGAATGCAAATCTTGAAAACCATTCTACCCTCCAGAAAATGAAACTATTTTGATAAATCAGCAGCAAATAAAAACTCAGCAAGTAAAAAAAAATCAAAGAACACTTTATTTAATTCAGAGATAAAAATAGCATCATAAAACACCACTATACTGTCTTAGTTTGAACAAACATAATAATTTGGAAATATGATGCTGCTAAAATGTGTACATAGCAATAGGAATCAACCCAGGTGGGCGAATATACAGACAAAATTCATATACATGTAATTGACAGGTGGCAGTTGCAGGATTGAAGCTACTCAGAGGTTGAATAATTTACACATCTATTGCTGGTTGTTTTTTAAAGGAAGAATAATGAAAACGTGAGCAAACTTTAAGACCTTAATAGATCTAAGTTTAAATATATGTATATGCCATACTGAAAGATGTATTCCTGTTCACAAATATATTCTTATTCTGATTCACATGATCTTCCACCTATATGCAGCTGTTTCAATCTTAACTTAGAGGGAGTAGTATTAGAAATAAGAAATATATTGGGCATAGACTTCCTTGGAACATAATGCACTACTGTAAACTTTATAATTCATAAAACGACAATCACAGTACTCTTGTTAACATTTGAACAATGTTTTTTAGTTCAAAATATAGTTAGAAATAAGATTCCCAAGGTAATGTATGCAGTTACATTGAAAACATATTGCTCATACAAGTGACACACTCAATTATTGCTTCTTAACAGCTCTTCAAAACTTGTTCACAAGAATTGATTCACAGTTCACAATAATGTAGAATGTTGCATGGAGCACTTGAAGAGGAGGTAGAAGAGAAGAAATTGGCTAAAATCAGATATCTCATAATATTTTTATTAGTGAAAGATTCTCATTGGATATAGCCCAGAAGGTGAAAACAGGCCATCATTCTAGACTGAAAGTAATCTGAACAAACACTCTGCCCACAAACAAGGAATAAATGAGTAAAGCAAATATGTGACAGAATCAATACAATTTAGAAAGCATATTTATTTGTTTTCATCAATCAGGCTACAAATTACTTTCCCTTTATCAAAAGAACTTCTTTAGTTAAAAGATTCCTGCAGCTACAAATACGGTTCTGGCTGAGCAAAATGTGAAGTTAGTGGGATCTTCAAGGGAATACCAGTAGAAAAGATAAAAAAGAGAAAAGGCTCATTGTAATCCTAAATTCCCAACCCTGTTTCAAGAAATCTAAACTGCCTGAACTGAGCATGTGTACCAGGTCTTTAAACAGTGTGTACCAATTCTGGGCTATGGCACATTCCATTATGAATGGTTATGATTTATAATGGAATGACATGGATGGTTTTATAATCAGAAAAACACACTGACCTTAACACTACACAGGTGGAGCAGCATAATGACTCGCCAATTGTAAGTGCATCAATTCCTGGAGAAAAGTTCAATGAGGTTAACTTAGTATGTATTCCAATATAGCACAGAAATATAAAAAAATAGACATAATATATATATATATATTGTGTTCTAGCCCAAAATGCACTTTGCTATGTGAAAGCACATTCATTTATATTTAGGTTCAGTGAAAAATTATTCTATTTTTAACATTTTCCTCTTAAGCTATTGCTGCATTGTTCAATGACAAACCAGTACAATTTGCATTAATAAGAATACAATAACTTGAAGTAGACTGAAAAAATAAAAATTAAAATATAATTCATGAAGGTGGAGAAAGGTTGGTAACAAATGGGGGTTATCTGAAGTATTATTAGTTACTGATATAAAAATAGAAATTACACATACAGAACTTGAGAGCATCATCATGCAATTTACTTTAATTCTATATTCTTTATAATCTTTAATATTTGTATTTAACTAAAATTAATATTGCTAAAACAATTTTTTGTCTCTTCTGAACTAGTTTTATAAGGGAATAATGAGCATAATGAAAGTCCTCTCAAAAAATATATTAAAAAAAAATTAATATTCGAGAGATAAGATAAACTCTTAAAAAAAACCCTGCTGCTTTCCTGAGCTCCAATTCCCATGGGAACAATACTGTCAAGGTTTTGACTAATGAAACACTTCAAAGAACTTTTAGGCATTGTTTAACCTAAAAAGCCTTTATTATTGTGTAACACAGTGTCAGCACGGCATGGAGGATGCCAAGATCTGAATTTCCCTTCCTTTGCACATAACATTCCAGGCATTTCCCCTCCCCTATTTTGGGGTCATGATTCACATCTTCCAAAATTAACCTAGAGGGCAAAGATTCGCTTCCGTTCCCTTCCATGCGCTTTTCCCTCCTCTCCCATTCTCATCTGAATTAACTCTAAAAATACCAGACAGTTCTGCATATTTTGTCAAAGCAAGAATATTCAATATTAGCAGCGTTGACAAATACAATATAATGAAGTGGATCATTCCAAGACTTTAATGCAATGGTTATAGTGGTGCCTTCATTTACTTTTGTATCTTGTGTTCAACAAAGAAGGCTCAACACTTTTCAACTTGTGGACTTTCCAAATATCAGTATATAAAATCCAGAAATCCTTTTGGATTTCTGGATTTCTTCTGAGCATCAAATCAGGAGAATATTGCTGATGATTTTATTTTATACCAAAATAAAAACAAGCAAAAACCTAACAAATACAATTAACATGTCTTAGGTACTTAGTGGACTCTGTTTAAAATGAATATTTGATAAATCTTGAAATTAAAATGGCCAAAGGAAAATGGGATAAAGAACTCCAGTACAACTCCAGTGTAACTATTTCTAATGGATTCTGAAGGAACATTCTAAATGTATATGGTCCAAGAATTGTGGTTTTGACATCTTCTAATCTATTGTTTTTCAGATACATCATTGCATTCCTTTCTTTTTCTGTCTGTCTGCATACATAGAGACAACAGTCCAATAGCTTAAAGTCCAGTAAGTATGAAATTAATAAATGAATATTCCCATGAGTCAGTCTTCCCCCTCTATTGCTTTTCTCAACTTTTATGGAGTCTGAGCTTTTCACCTAGAACTGCATAATCTCAGTGTTCGTGCTTGCCACAAGTCTATAGTCCATATTTCATGGAATCTTTCCATAATTGCTTTAATAAAGTCAGAATAAAGGCTTAAAATAAAGTTTTAGATGTATGAGTGACCTATTGTATTATGGACTGGCAGGAAAAGAAACATATAAAAAAATAATAACTACAAATTCCATGGATAAGAATCCTCACAGGGAAAACAACTCAAGAAATGGGAAATTTTGAAAAATGAGATAATAAAAGCACAGTCTAGCACAATACCAACAAAGAGGAAAAACAACAGCTCTCAAAAGAAACCAGCATGGCTGCATAAAGAACTCTCTGACAAATTGAAAGATAAAAAGGACAAGTATAGAAAGTGGAAAGAGGGGAACATAACTAAGTCAGAATATCAGCAAATAGCCCGAGCCTGCAAAGATGAAGTGAAGAAAGCCAAGGCTCAAAATGAACTAAGGCTTGCGACCAAAGTCAAAAATAACAAAAAAAGCTTCTTTCAACATGTAAAAAACAAGAAAAAAGTGAAGGAAATGATTGGTCCATTAGTGGGTGGAAGTGGCAAGAAGGTGACAAGCAACAGTGAGACAGCAGAACTATTTAACTCATTTTTTGCATCTGTCTTTACACAAAGGGAAAAAACAGACCAACCTATCAAAAATAGTGCCATAAAAAACAAAATAGAAACACAAGTTAAGATAAGCAAGAAAATCGTAAGTGAGCACCTGTCCAGCCTAGATGAGTTCAAATTGCCAGGACCAGATGGATTACACCCAGAGTTCTCAAGGAACTGGCAGATGTGATATCGGAACCATTGAACTATATTTTTCAAAGATCCTGGAACACAAGGGAACTACCAGAGGACTGGAAAAGAGCTGATGTAGTTCCCATCTTCAAAAAAGGAAAAAAAATGGATCCAGGAAATTACAGACCTATCAGCCTGACCTCAATACCTGGGAAGATCCTGGAAAAGATAATCAAACAACGAATCAACGAACACCTAGAGGCAAACAAAGTCATTAATAAAAGCCAACATGGGTTTGTCAAAAATAGATCATGCCAGACAAATCTTATTGCATTCTTTGACCAAGTGACAAAATTAGTGGATCAGAGGAATGCTGTGGACATAATTTACTTGGACTTCAGTAAGGCATTTGATAAAGTAGATCACAACCTACTACTTGATAAGATAGAAAAATGTGGGGTAGACAGAATCACCACCAGATGGATCCGTAGCTGGCTGACCGGCCGTACTCAGCGAGTGGTCCTCAATGGAACTGCATCTATATGGAGGGAAGTGTGTAGTGGGGTGCCCCAGGGCTCTGTTCTGGGCCCAGTGCTCTTCAACATCTTCATCAACGATTTGGATGAAGGGATAGATGGGGAACTCATCAAATTTGCAGACGACACCAAGCTGGCAGGAATAGCCAACACTCCAGAAGACAGGCTTAAGATACAGAAGGATCTGGACAGACTTGAACACTGGGCACTAACTAACAAAATGAAATTCAATGGTGAAAAAAGCAAGGTTCTACATTTAGGCAAGAAAAACCAAATGCACAAGTACAGCATAGGTGGCACCATGCTCAATAGTAGTAACTGTGAGAGGGACCTCGGAGTCCTAGTAGACAATCACCTAAATATGAGCCAGCAGTGTGCTGCAGCTGCCAAAAAGGCCAACACAGTGCTAGGCTGCATTAACAGAGGGATAGAATCAAGATCACGTGAAGTATTAATACCACTCTTCAATGCCTTGGTAAGGCCACACTTGGAATACTGCATCCAGTTTTGGTCACCACGATGTAAAAAAGATGTTGAGACTCTAGAAAGAGTACAGAGAAGAGCAACAAAGATGATTAGGGGACTGGAGGCTAAAACATATAAGGAACGGTTGCTAGAATTGGGTATGTCTAGTTTAACGAAGAGAAGGACAAGGGGGGACAGGATAGCAGTATTCCAATATCTCAGGGGCTGCCATAAAGAAGAGGGAATCAAGCTATTTTCCAAAGCACCTGAAGGCAGGACAAGAAGCAACGGGTGGAAACTAATCAAGGAGAGAAGCAACCTAGAACTAAGGAGAAACTTCCTGACAGTGAGAACAATTAATCAGTGGAACAGCCTGCCTCCAGAAGCAGTAAATGCTCCACACTGGAAGTTTTTAAGAAGAGACTGGACAGCCATTTGTCCGAAATGGTGTAGGGTTTCCTGCCTGAGCAGGGGGTTGGACTAGATGACCTCCAAGGTCCCTTCCAACTTTACTACTATTACTAATTACAAATACATAAAAATGAAATGATATGCAAAAATAAAAGGAAATGGTACAGGGAAGATCATGACCCTTATACTACCTCACAAATGTATCAGTGTACTTCTGTTTATTTAAGTCAATGGTTCTCAACCTGTGGGTCGGGACCCGATTTGGGGTTGAACGACCATTTCACGGGGGTCGCCAATCAAGCCTGTCCGCCATTTTCCTTTTTCTTTGGCCACGCCCCTGGCACCTGGTGATGTATAAGTGGTTGGGGGTCATCACAACATGGGGAACTGTATTATGGGGTCGCAGCATTAGAAAGGTTGAGAACCACTGATTTAAGTAAACACTTACTTTGCAATTTGAGGAGGAAAATTCAGCAAATCTTGGAACTGCTGTAGAGGAATCAATATTTTCTACTTCCATTTTCAGAGTAAGGAAAAATTGCACAATTTTAAAAGACTTACAAATTTGTGATAATTTATAATAATTATAATGAATTTGTCACATAAGGAACATGTTGATTTAAGATGTCTACTGAGGCTGATAATAGTGGGGGAAAACCCTACAATTACATTTGGGGCCAAAAGACATATTAAAATATTACTTTATCCAGAACTCTTGACTTTCTAATTTTTTCTTCCATTAAACAAATCCACAACTAAGAATCACAGTAAAACAGTAAATAAATAGGTTTGCTGTTGTAAACACAGGTCATAACATATAAAATAACAATAAATAATAAATTATTAGATAGAGCAATGAAAGTATTAAATATTACAAAGGTTACAGAATAAAGTCAAAACTACAACTAAGAAACATTTTTTTAAAGTTTAAATAACAGAAAAAGTTGATTGCTTACAATTGGAAATACAAGATAGTTCAATTTTTCAAGGTCAAAGCTCTTCAGTTCATCTACCATTAATAACTTGTCCTTGAACTCATTGTAAATGGGACAGTGGAGGATATAATGGATAATAATCTCTATTTGATCAACACTACAAGGCAGAGAGACATTGTTCAACAGGGAATTTATAAAAACTCCCTTTGGAAATTTGGAAGGGATGATCTGCAGGTGAAGGAATATTCTCAGTGAAGCTCTCCTTATGCTAACCAAGTACTGGGAGAGGCTTCCATTTTTTTTATAC